AATCCAACTTCAGGGAAAAAAGTCCCCCAAACTAAGCATTTCAATTTCAATTCCATTTATAATGCTTCCGATCTCACAGAAAAGCAAAGAGCTCTAATATAAGAAGCCTACAAATATTCCTACAATACTTGTACAGATTGGAGATTTATGATAACAGGCAAAGAGATGCAATAAAATGGTTTGCAGTTTTTTTTCAGGTTTCATTATTTATTATGAAAATAACACATTCATGGGATTGAAGAAAACAAACTATAAAAGAAATCTCCTATCACCCCAGATTTTGAGCTGTCAACTGCTTATTATATATTTCTCCAAAACATGCCAATGCATAGACAAATATATGTGCATCCTTTACATAATGAGGACATATTACATACAGTGTTCTGTACTCTGGTTTTCACTTCAAATTTTATGTGAGAGATTTTTCTACAGCTTCATGTATGCAGAAAGCTCATTATTTAAAAACAAAACAAAACAAAACATCATAGTAGTCCATGTAGGGATAACAGTTCTCAGTATGCCTCTGCAATAGGGGTGCAATGAACAACCTTGCATTTCAGTCTTTGTGCTCATTTGGAATTTTATTTTTAAGTCCTAAATTTGTAATTACCAAGTAAAAGTGTATATACATTTAAATATTGGTAGGTATCTTCAAATTGGCCTGGTAAAATCCAAAAGACTGTACCAATTTGCAACCTCATTAATAAAGGATGAAATATTCCCTATCCCATTCCTTTATCAACACTCGATACTGTTTTGATCTTGACACCATCTTAGATGCTTATTTACCAACTTGCATTTCCTTTACTATATACTCCTGTTCAACCTCTCCCCAATTTTCCATTTGGGTTGCTGATATTTTTCTTAAATATACTTTAAGAACCAGTAACATGTTAGTTAAATTAGCTCTTTGATTAATATATGTCCACAGACAGGGCGCCTGGGTGGCTCAGTCGGTTAAGCGTCTGACTTCAGCTCAGGTCACCATCTCGCGGTCCGTGAGTTCGAGCCCCGCGTGGGGCTCCGGGCTGATGGCTCAGAGCCTGGAGCCTGCTTCCGATTCTGTGTCTCCCTCTCTCTCGGCCCCTCCCCCGTTCATGCTCTGTCTCTCTGTCTTGAGAATAATTAAACGTTAAAAAAAAAAATATATATATATATATATACATATATATATATCCACAGATATAATCAAGTGTGTGTGCTTGTCCCTCAGCTTTGTGGTTTTCTTGCTTTGGATATTCAAAATAAGAAAGCTTTCTTATATGATTTCTTAATTTTGCCTTTATTAAAAAGACTTTTGCTCACTACTGAAACCAACCAACCAGCCAACCAACCATCCAAACAAATGCCAAAATTTTCTCCTAATGATGTTAATGACAATGATGGTGGTGGTGGTGATGATGATGATAACATTAAGCCCTAACATCAAGAACTTATTGTATTCTAATTAATGAGATAAAATCCAAGATTCATTCATTCATGCATGCATGCATGCATTCATTCATTCAGTTTCCAACTGCCCACCTTGTGTTACATGTTAACACATTGTAAAATGCCTTAACTGAGAATTCCCTGGTCTCTATTTTAATCTATTAATCTGTAGGTCTTATTTTCTGTTCAGCTCAAACTCTTAATTTCTTTAGTTTTATATTTGCAAAGAGTTGGGGTTCCCTCATTATAATACTATTTCAGAACTCTTCCAGTTATTTTTACAAATTACTTTTCATACAACGTTGGTCATCTTATGATTCATTTATAAATAGCAAACATTCAAAAAATATTGCTTTTCTATCCAAGAACAAGACATGTCTTTCCATGTATTTAATCATGGTATTTTTCCTACTCTGAGTAGAATTTAAAGGCTTTCTTTCTAAAACTCTGCAAATTTTTGTTAGCTTTATACACACATATTTTCTTTTATGTTGTTATTGTAAATGTTATCTTTTATTCCATTATAATTTGAACTGGCCAGATGTACTAAGAAAAGTTGAAGGGTTATATGAATCTTTTATCAGCTGCTTTTCTGTATTCTCTTGATGTCTTTTTTCAATTTTTTATTTAAAAATGCATGTTTTCCAGATATACAAAACCAGATGATCTGTCAAAAAATGATTATTTTCCCACTTTCTCTACAATTTTTGTATTTTTCAATCATTTGTCTTGTCTATTTCCACAGGTTCGTATGTTAAGGGCATGCCAAATAATACGGTGTCCGAGGGCATTTTTGTCTTTTTCCTAACTTTAAAGGTAATCCACTGTCTCAATGCTGGATTTCTTGTAAAGTTCTGGATGAACATGAAAGACAGCAAGGTCTATGGCATTTCATTCCAACTATCAATCTGAGAGATGTGTAAGTCTAGCAGCTGCCATTTTTAAAAAAAATTTATTCTAATGTTTATTTTTTTCTAAGCACGTGAGAGAGACTGTGCGCACACAGGGGAGGGACAGAGATGGAGGGAGACACAGAATCCAAAGCAGCTTCAGGCTCTAAGCTGTCAGCACAGAGCCCGACCCGGGGCTCGAACCCACGAACCGTGAGATCATGACCTGAGCTGAAGTCGGAGGCTTAACCGACTGAGCCACCCAGGCACCCCTCACAGCTGCCATTTCTGCCTTTAGCTCTCATCTGTCCCATCCTGAATTCGAATGAAAACATGCCACACATTTCCATTTATAAACTGCTTTAGAAGATATTTTTAATAACTGGTATATGCAATACTAATTACTTTTATGTGGAAATAATAACAAATACAATGTTTTAAGAAGGGAAACGTCTTACTAAAATATATACACCCACACACGCACACATATGTATCACCATCACCCCACGAAGCTGGCACAAGAGCTCAATATCAGAGCAGTTTTGGTTTTATTCCTACTCTTCCTATAGAGGCATTTTCATTAATTTAGTAAAGACAAGCCTAAACAGGTTTGTGACTTTCATCTCAGCTTTTGTGATGTCTTTCTTTTTCCTCTTACCATTCAAACTTGTGTGTTTGAAATCTTTACAAGTAAATGAGCTGAAACAAATAAAACTAATTCACTTGAGATTTTGTAGACATCTGGTGGAGTTATTTTCTGAGTAATTAGAATGAGAGGCGGGACAATTCCCTGAAGTAAAGCCACCATACAGTTGGATACCCAGTTATTTCTACAGCCATCAGATGGCATGCGGCGAGCATATTGATTCACAAATTGACAAACAGTTATGTAAAGCTGCCACCTGATTTTCTAAGACCGTTTATGTTATATCAATATATGCACAACCTGCTTTTCTAAAAGATGCCTTTTCTCTGTCCTCTCACAGTCTGCTCCATGTCTTTATGTCCTATCACCTCACTATCCCTTCATGTTGTTAGAGATAGGGAACACAGTTGTCTCTCAAGGGCTGGTATCTGCTCGCCCTTGGTTAATCAGACATCTGTACACAAATATGAATCAATTACAATTCGGATTTTGAAAACATGTATCTATTTTGGTAAGTAGAGTTATTTATGAAAGAAAGTAAAGATATGTAAATGGTTTCACTTTTGTAATATTTATCGCTATTTGGCTTGGAAATGTTGATCAGTGAATTCTTAATATTTCAAATGCATGTCTTAATATTATAAAATCATAGATCTAGGGGGTGCCTGGGTGGCTCAGTCGGTTGGGCGTCCGACTTCGGCTCAGGTCATGATCTCACGGTCCGTGAGTTCGAGCCCTGCGTCGGGCTCTGGGCTGATGGCCCGGAGCCTGGAGCCTGCTTCCGATTCTGTGTCTCCCTCTCTCTCTGCCCCTCCCCCGTTCATGCTCTGTCTCGCTGTCTCTCTCTGTCTCAAAAATAAATAAACGTTAAAAAAAAATTAAAAAAAAATCATAGATCTAGAATGGATCTGAAAGTTCAAATTGTTATTCTCACTGCTAGGGAACAAAAGCACTTAAACCACTGTACAAAGATATACATCTTTCCAATTTAAAATAACTCTAGGAGATTCTGCAACTATCTTAAGTCACCCATGGTGGAGTAAAAAATTGTTATCAAGAAAAAAAATTGCTATCAAGAAAGTTTCCCTTTTAGCCAATCTAAATCCCACAAGTTATTAAAAATCTCCTTTATTGTGTCTATGCCTTTAGTATTTTACTGTTAGGGATAACATTTATAGAGCAACAAAGTCAGGTGTTTTCACCATGCCAAGAACAAAGGTATTTTAATCAAGACTCACCCAGATGGTGGCTATCCTTACCACTTCACTTCTTCCTGGATCCCACACTATCACTATTCTCAATCACTCTCAATTTAACTTTACCCAAGAGTTAGATAATTAGGATTTATTTCTATGTATGTATGTATTTTAGAGACAGGGAGAGTGCACGCGCAAGCATGAGTAGGGGAGAGGGGCAGAGGGAAAGAGAATCTTAAGCAGGTTTCACACTAAGCACTGAGCCCAGGGCAGGGCTCGATCCCACGACACTGGAATCATGACCTGAACCAAAATCAAGAATCGGATGCTTAACTGACTGAGGATTTATTTTTAGATGTAAGTTAAAGATACAGGATACTTCAGAGGTGCAACGTTTGCAAGTTGTTTAAAAATATAAAGGGAAATTATGTATGTGAATTAAGACTTGATAGTCATGTAAACAAATATTACAAACTTATCCTTAGTTGAACATATTCCCCAATCCCGGGATATTTAGACATGACACCAGAATTGACACACAAGTAAAACTCATGTTTTGCTAGGGCATTTGCATCCATCAGGTCTACTTGTTTTCCTCATTTATCTTTTTAATCATGAACTATGTCCATTACGCATCAAGTCAAGATGTATCCATACCCTTTTGTTTTGCAGTGCATGGAACAAGACCACCAAATCCCACCCAAACTGATTCAAAACTTTTGCCAAAGGATAGTAACTCCATTTTCATTCTCACAAGTGAAAGCACAGTATGACAACATGCCCAAGTAGTTAGTAAGTACATCCTGAACGGTGGTTCAAATGCAGCGGAAAACTCACCAGAGGTTTCGTCTACTCTCTCATCTACTATGTGGTCCTTCTGATGAACCCATTCACTATTGCACTTGAAGTAGATCTGGGTGGCGGGGCTGGCTTTACAATACAGGTTCACAGGCTTATTCTTCACAATATAAGCTTCTTCGGGCTCAATAAGAAAATGTGGTAGAGGCTCAGGTGGATCGGATGGAAAGGTTTCTGGGAGTTCATGAAAAAAGTCATCATCTGGTAAAACAAGAAGAAAGTGGAAAACATTCAAATCATTGTAGTCACTTGCCATTTACTTGCCATTCATTTAAAAATAGTGACTCATAAATGACTTAATTAGGTACCCGAGCACCTGCTATGCATCAGGCAGTATGTTAGGTCTATAGACTTGTTGCTCAGTTAATGATTTACATTACTATTCTAATTTTTGCACATGAAAAAACTCAACATCAGGAAGGGTAAATATAATGCCTTGAGCATGCAGGTAGTTTGTAAATAGCAGAACTGGGATCAGAACTCAGGTTTGTCTCACTCAGAAAATGTGATCCTCCCAATGTAGTACTACACCTCCCATCACACGGTGTTCCTTCTCCTTGAGAGCTGACAAAAGCAGAAGCAATTGCATTAGAAAAATTCATTTGGGATGCCTGGGTGGCTCAGTCGGTTAAGCCTCCGACTTCGGCTCAGGTCATGATCTCATGGCTCATGAGTTCAAGCCCCGTGTCGGGCTCTGTGCTGACAGGTTGGAGCCTGGAGCCTGCTTCAGATTCAGTCTCCCTCACTCTCTGCCCCTCCCCTGCTTGTGCTCTGTCTCTCTCTCTCTCTCTCTCTCTTAAATATAAATAAACATTAAAAAAATAAAAAAAGAAACATTTGTTTCTTTTGAAACATTGAAAAATATAAGGCTCCTAGGCAAACCTTAAAACTCTTTGCAAGGAGCTGAGAAGGAATACTAGGAACCTGAATTAGTGATCTTTAAGTTCAGATTCAAAGGTGCCACTGCATGACATAGTCTTTCAAATGAATTCATTCATTCAACCAAAACTATTTGTTGAACTCAGGATTATTCTCAGCTCCGGAAAGCAGCCAATAGGCTGACAGAGTGGAGCCCAGTCAGTAGAGTAGAGCCCAGAGTCTAGCAATTCTGTTTCGTCTTATTTAGAAACTATACCTCCAGTATCAGATATATTAAATGACTAGCTAAACCTGTCCTCATTAGAATATTACTGAGTTATTATCGTGAAGAACAATAGTCAATGGTCTCATTTTTTTTATAGCACAGAAAATTGTTAAATATATTGCTCCCACCCTGCTATTTCAACACCAGTGAAGAAACAAAACCCCCAAACCACTTAAGATATTTATCCACTTTGAGGTATGTTTTTCATAATTTGGGTTCTGTATGATTCCAAATAAAAATAGAAAAAAAAAGTGCCATTAAAAACCCTATTATCATATTTCACAAAAGTCAAGGTAAAAAGAGTCTTTCCAATACACTGAAAATAAATCAGACCTGATATTTTTCTTCCTGTGACAGATAGTGGAGAGCAAAACTATTATTAATTCCTTAAGTTGATTAAGCACCCTAGGATAATATGTCGGGTTAACACTGTGAGGTCAAAATTAAAAGTTTTTACAATTTTTTTCTTTTAATATTAATCTTTTTGAGAGGGTGGGGGGAGGGAGAGAGAGAGAGAGAGAGAATGAGTGGGGGAGGGGCAGAGAAAGAGGGAGACACAGAATCCGAAGCAGGCTCCAGGCTCTGAGCTGTCAGCACAGAGCCCAACATGGGGATCAAACTCATGACTGTGAGATCATGGCCTGAGCTGAAGTGAAGTTGGATGCTCAACTGACTGAGCCACCCAGGTGCCCCTCAAAATTAAAAGGTTTTGAAAGTACATATATCCAATGGTTGTTCATATGTCACCTTGAAACTCATTTTATAACTCATTCTGGTGTTGCCCTATTTTGCATGAAGGCCATTAGTAAAATGGACATTTGTCTGTTAAGAAACCTGGCCTGGAGCTTTTCTCATCTAGGTCATGGGTAGCTGTCAAATAGTAACCATGTTTGATCTCTGCCAATATGTTGTGCAATGAAAACTGGCTTTGCTTACATCACAGACACAACTAGCTTTCAAAGCTCTTCACAATTTTAAATTTCTGACACTGGTATGCAAATGATGCATCCTATAGCTAGCTTTCTTTCTCACTTTACTGCCTTCATTTGCTTTCTTCTGGCAGGGCATCATTTCTGGTTTTTCCATTGTTGAACATCAAGGATCCAAACTGTCAGTTAACTAAAGAATAACCTTGTTTCCATCAATTTCAGCTTCTGTAGTCAATATGCAAGAACACTCAAGACTGCTTAAATAAACACAGTTCAGAAAGGCAAAGGAATAGGGAACTGAGGTATTGACAGATTCATCAACATAAAGCTGATATCTTGAAGGCCTTATTCTCTTATTTCATTTTTTCCCCCAATGATCTTATTGTTATATGTGATGATGGACAGTTCTGATTATCAACAGAATGCCACAAAATATCAAACTCAAATTCTGTAAAATGTTAGCTGTTGTTTTTAATTATTATTCATGAAGGCAGAGGATCAATTCATTTTCTTTTTTTACTATTGATGAATACAAAAAGTGTATACACCAATAGTAAAAACTAATTGTGCACACAAACAAACAGTAAAAAAACTGTATACACATGCAAAAATGTATATGTATTTTATAGAAATATTTTTATTTAGGTTTGCAAAATACAAAAAGGTTTTCATTCAGTTATTGTTTCAGAAAGTGAGATTGTTCCTTTAGAAGGAATGATGATTGTGAAATATCAGATGACTGTTTACTACCTTACCTTATTCAATCATGTAGCAAAGTACTTATGTATTCACATCCTACAGAAAGATAGGCACTAAAAATTGATTACCCTTCCTTGCCAAAAGCGTGTATTTCTTCCTTCTGATTATTTTATTGTAAACTACTGGGAAGACTAATGGAAGTTGAGAAAGTCACACATATGTTTTCAACTCAAAAGGGGCTCTGTGAAATGCTGGAAAAAATAGTAATCATATATTTAAAAAATGTATGGACAACCTAATTTTGTATTTGCTTAATTCTTTGTTTTAAGACAAGAGGATCACTACTAACAAAGTGAAATAATCCTATGACTTGGTTTGAAGTTTCATAAAGTGTTGATTTTTTTAAGGTGTTTGTCACATAACACTTATTGTATTTTATAACAATAGGAAAGATTTCCATCATTTGAAACATTTTCATTATGTGTTAAATTCAGTGTTTCTTTTACATATCGTTGTACTTACTACATAAACCCTATCTCTTAAATTTGACCTAGGGAGATGCCTTAACCAGCAATATCATATAAGGTTGTTACTATTTCTTATAATACACATATGGTGTTTAAGTCCATGCCTAGATAAATTCACATCAGGCAATATAGTACATTACTCCTAGTGCTTAATTCTGGAGATAGGAATGGCATTTCTAAAGATACTTTTCAAGACTCTGAGCCAGTAAGATATATATAATGGGGTAGATTTGACAAAATGGGAATGGACTGATTATCTGTGGGTTCACAAGCTGCTGGGAAATTCTCCACTTCTGCATTTGCAGCAAGTGGCCTGAATACCATGCCCATCCATGGAAATTGGTCCAGATAACAACCTCTCTGGCATTGGGTTGAGAATGCTAAGACAATACTTTCTTTGGTCCAGGCAAAAAATGGTAAGTATGAGGATTAATTTCAGAAATTGTCTTTTTATGAAATCTCTTTTAAAATATTTTTTCTAGACTAAGTTTTGAAAATCAAACAAGTGAGCCAATTTTCTTCAACCAAAATTATAAAAGAAAACTTCTGAGTATTTAAATATCCGGCATGGTTACATCTATATGTATTCAACAAGGAAAAAATAAATGACCATCTTCAAATGCCATGTGTATTTTACAAGGAAAAAAGTAATCATTTCCAAATATCATGTGTATTTAATAAGGAAAAAATGACCATCTTCAAATACCATGTGTATTTTACAAGGAAAAAGTGACCATCTCCAAATACCATGTGTATTTTACAAGGGAAAAATGATCGTTGGTAAATGACCATCTACAAATACCTCTTCATGAAAACTTAGCTCGTCTGGATCATGTATGCATTTGCCTTGCACACATACGGAGAAACCTACTTTTCAGTTTTGGCCACCAGTTTTATGCAATTATTACCAATTTTCAAAGCCAGAAATACATAACAAATGCTTAACACTACAATGAGAGCTCCTCTGAAGGCAGGAGTTATTGTCATTTTCATTTTTTATTTTCCATTAAGTCTAGCATAATGCCAGGCACATTGTAGGAGGTCAATAAAAATCTTATAAAAGCATAAATATTGTATAAATGGCACCTGCGAGCATTCAGAAAAGATTCACAAGGCATTTTTTTTATTGTTTTATTTATTTTTGAGACAGAGAGGGAGACAGAGTGCAAGACGGGGAAGAGCAGAGAGAGAGGAGACACAGAACCAAAGCAGGCTGCAGGCTCTGAGCTGTCAGCACAGAGCCTGACGCGGGTCTATAACTCAGGAACCATGAGATCATGACCTGAGCCAAAGTCAGACACTTAACCGACTGAGCCACCCAGGTGCCCCAGATTCACAAAGTATTTTAGAGTTTATAGTGTCTCAAATTAATTAACAATACAAGAGGTTGTAACCATAGTAAGATCTACAAATGGGACTGGCTACAAAATTTGTGTGGCCTGGTGCAGAGTGGAAAGAAATTTGGGGATCCTCATTAAAAATATATTAAGAATTCTGAAACAATGGCAGATAAGCATCCAACCAAGAGTCCTGTGTGACAGCACAGGTCACATATCCACAAAGTTGGTCTTGTCTACAAATGTCAGTTAACTGAGCATTCCACCTCATGGAAAATCTGAGAATTAAGACTTTGTCTTTATTAATGGATATTTGTTTTAGAACTCATTTGCTACTTTCCAGCTTCTTATTGTGATTAGATGTTTTCTAGAAGAATCATGGCTTTCCAGAGACAGAAACTCAGTCTCCAAAGAAGTCTGCGAGCAAATGTGTTTGCAGTGGAGCACAAGGGAAAGCATGCGACTGTATTTGCTCATGGCTTTCCCTTTGGATTACTCCAGTGCCCATTCATAGGCCTGACCCAAAACAAGTCAAATCTCTGCCACACTGAAGCTAAATCTTCCA